CCCCCCGCGGCTCCGCGCGCCGCGGCCGCGCGCGTTCGCTCGGAGGGGCGTGGTGCACACCCACGGGAGCCTGGCGGCGCAGGCGGAGCTCAGCGCCAAGGCGTGGAGGCCCTCCCCCGGGGGGGGCGGGCTGCAGAGGTCCTGGGGCCTCCCAAGTGAGCCATGCGTGCAGAGGAGTCTCCTCCTCCTTCGCCTCCTCCTCCTCCTCCTCGTCCTCCGCTCCTCCTCCCCTCCTCCTCCTCCTCCTCTCTCCTCCCTCATCCTCCTCCTCCTCCTCCTTCCTCCTTCCTCCTCCCTCCTCCTCTCCTCCTCCTCCTCCTCCTCCTTCCTCCTCCTCCTCCTCCCTCTCCCTCCTCCTCCTCCTCTCCTCCTCCTCCTTCCTCCTCCTCCTCCTCCTCCTCCTCCTCCTCGTCCTCCTTACCCTTGTCCTCGTTCTCCTCCTCGTCCTCGTCCTCGTCCTCCATGAGCGACGCAGAAATACAGTCGTCTTCACCAACATTGACGCGCAAGCTGCCCGCGTGAGCTCGCACGTAGGCGCCCTCGCTTCTAATGTGGCGTGCCGCACTCGCGGCCCGCGTAAGCCGCCGCGTAAGGTCGCTAATTATGCCATCTAGCGTAAGACCCGTTTCTTTTCGTCACCCAAGTGGGTGGGGTCGGAGGATCGCGCCACATCGTCGATGTTTTGCCGATGCGGCGTGATGTTGAGCCCGATTTTCTCCACGCCGACGTCGCCGATGCATCGGCGATGCATCGGCGATGCATCAGCGATGCGGCGCGATCCTCCGACCCCATCAAGCTATTCGGAGCCGACATGGGCGGCCTCTAAATTCGGCGCCGGCTAAACCTCGTGGGCCCCCAAACGGTGCGGCGACCACATCGCGAGCAGGCACTTTTCCGGGTACCCAGGGCGACTTTCCGGGGCACCCACGAGTTACCCTGGGCACCCTACCGGGATCCTGGGGCACCTTGGGCACATTTGTGGGGTGCTAAAGGCTACCCCACCCCGGGAAGGTTCTTGGGGTCCAGGGCCCTTCCGAAAGGAGCCCATCCGGCGCGCCGAATCGACTCCATCGAGCGCGCGGCGTGGTAGGTGCCCACAAACCGACCAACAAAAAGAAAGATGAAGTCCATCTGGCGCCGAGTGGACTCTCGAAATTAGAGCCCATCCAGCGACAAAGGAGACTTTCCGGCGTAAAACAGAATCCATCCGGCGAACCGATAGAGTCCATCCGGCGGCGTTAGAGTCCACCCGGCGCAAACTTAGAGTCCATCCAGCGGCATGCGAGCCCATCCGGCTGGCAAAATGACCATCATGGCATCCGAGTCCATTCGGCGGATAGCCCCGTTGTGCGCGCTGCTTGCACATCCCCTCGACCCCTCGACCCCGCGCCCCCATGCCCCCGTGACCCCATGCCACCTGCGACCTTATCACCCCGCCACCCCGCGACCCTATCCCGCGACCACAAGTCCTCACGACCCCGCGACCCCACCGCCCACCACATTACCGTCATGTCACCCCGCCGCCCCACGAACCCGCGACCTCACGCCTCTGCCCCGAGACCCCGCTGCTCCGCAACTCCGCAGCCCCATTGCCCCGCCACGCCACCGCCTCAGCGGATCCTCAGGACTCCTTCTCCCTAGGAAAATCCTCGGGATCATTGAGGATCCCTAGCGGATCCAAGGGGGGCCCCACGGATCATTCGGGATCCTTAGCGGATCCCTGAGGGAACCTTGGGGATCCGTGGGGATGTTCCGCTGTTCCCGAAGGATAGCCTTAGGATACTTTGGGACCTTGAGCGCGCCCCCCAGGAACACCGTAAATATCTGGGGGTCCTTAGCGGTCCCAAGCGGAACCCTCGACAAACCCTAAGCCCCAAGGACTTTTGGGGATCCTTGGGAGTCCATCCAGCGAAGGGAGTCCATCCGGCGAAAAGAAAGTCCATCCGGCGACGCGACCCACGATTTGCAATTCTATACGTTTAGCTCACGCAGATCAGAGCCCATCCGGCGCTTGCGCGGAGATTCGCCGAATGCAATTCCATTCGGCGCCGAACGGACTCTTTTAGGAAGGGCTGGGTAATGTCAGCCGGATGGGCTCTCTTCCAGCCAGATGGGCTCTATCCCGCTGGATGGGCTCTAATTCCGCCGGATGGGCTCGATGAAAAAGGCTTCGCAGAATGGACTCTTTGAAATCCGAAGTGAGTTTTTTTAATACCACAGCAATTCTCATGCTTGGAATGCCCTCACTCAAAAAATCGCATCCTCATGCTGGCGCCTCTCGGGCGCACCTAGCGCTCAGCGTTCCCGCGCATCCCTTCAAATCGCCCAGTGCGCACGCACTGTCACGTGTGTGTTCTTCGTTGTTGTTTTGGCATGCCATTGGTATGCACTGTAGTCATGTGGGTGCTCGGTGGGGGGGTCCCAAACAAACTTGGAATGAATTCGCGCATTTCCCTAGGGATCCGCGAAGGATTCCCAAGGATCCCTAGGGCTCCATGGGGATAACCCCCATCCCTCGCGCCAAGGATTCCTAAGGTTTCCCTTGGGGTCCTTTCAAGGTTCCCCAAAGACCCAAAGGTTTGCCAAGGAATCCGCCCAGGATCCGCAAGGATTCCAAGGGTTTCCCTGCAGGAATCCGCGAAGGATCCCCAAGGGTCCTTAGGGTTTATCGAGGGTTCCGCTTGGGACCGCTAAGGACCCCCAGATATTTACGGTGTTCCTGGGGGGCGCGCTCAAGGTCCCAAAGTATCCTAAGGCTATCCTTCGGGAACAGCGGAACATCCCCACGGATCCCCAAGGTTCCCTCAGGGTTCCGCTAAGGATCCCGAAAGATCCGTGGGGCCCCCCTTGGATCCGCTAGGGATCCTCAATGATCCCGAGGATTTTCCTAGGGAGAAGGAGTCCTGAGGATCCGCTGAGGCGGTGGCGTGGCGGGGCAATGGGGCTGCGGAGTTGCGGAGCAGCGGGGTCTCAGGGCAGAGGCGTGAGGTCGCGGATTCGTGGGGCGGCGGGGTGACATGACGGTGATGTGGTGGGCGGTGGGGTCGCGGGGTCGTGAGGACTTGTGGTCGCGGGATAGGGTCGCGGGGTGGCGGGGTGATAAGGTCGCAGGTGGCATGGGGTCACGGGGGCATGGGGGCGCGGGGTCGAGGGGTCGAGGGGATGTGCAAGCAGCGCGCACGACGGGGCTATCCGCCGAGTGGACTCGGATGCCATGATGGTCATTTTGCCAGCCGGATGGGCTCGCATGCCGCTGGATGGACTCTAACTTGGCGCCGGGTGGACTCCAACGCCGCCGGATGGACTCTATCGGCTCGCCGGATGGATTCTGTTTTACGATCGGATGGGCTCTAATTTCGAGAGTCCATTCGGCGCCCCGGATGGACTCCATCTTTTTTTTGGGGGGGTCGGTTTGCGGGCACCTCCCACGCCGCGCGCTCGATGGAGTCTATTCGGCGCATCGGATGGGCTCCTTTCGGAAGGGCCGGGTAGAGCCCATCCGGCGCGCCGAATGGTCTCTCTTTTCAAAAAGTCCGTTCGGCGCGAAAACGGAGCCCATCCTGCAAAGGGAGTCCATCCGGCGAAAAGAAAGTCCATCCGGCGACGCGACCTACTATTTGCAGTGCTTTCTATACGTTGATCAGAGCCCCGAATCATCAGGGGTAATTCGGGTCAGGGCTAACTCGGGTTCCTTTTTCGGGAATCCAAACCCGAGTTACCCCGGACCCGAGTTACCCCGGATAACTCGGGCGCCCAAGTTTAGCTCACGCAGATCAGAGCCCATCCGGCGCTTGGCCGACAATGCAATTCCATGCGGCGCCGAACGGACTCTTTTCGGAAGGGCCGGGGTGCCCCGGGCGGAGCCGGAGTGGCCCCGGGGCAAGTTTTTCTGGTGCGCCCCCGGGCACATTTCCAGGGTGCTGCTCTGGTGTTTCGGATGCTGCTGATGTTGTCGCCAGTATTGCCGGATTCCTGCTTTGACCGGGTATCAGCCTTGTTCTCTCTCTCTCTCTCTCATACTTCTTCTTCGCTCCAGCAGTTCGAGGCATCTCTCTCTTAAGGCTGAAGCGGATGTGTCGTCACAGGTCTTCTTTCTCGGGAACTATCCAGCGTAGCCGTCCTCTCTGACTCTCCCCACTTTCTCCATACACTATCTGGCGCAACTTCTGGCAACATCTGCTCCCAGTCCACGCTTCGCGTTTCCAAGATCTTCTCCTCGAACTTGTGGAAGAATTCGTTGCGCAACTCGTCGCTCGTGGTGCACTCCATGAATGCTTCTCTGTCTACCCCTCCATCCTGTCACCTGGTCCTTCTAGGTGGGCGGAGTATTTGTTTAGGGCCTATGTCCAGCACTATCCCTCTTGGTATGTGATCTCTTTGTGTGCCCTTTTGCACTTGATCGCCTTAAGTCGCTTCGCTGTAACTCTGAGGATTACGCACCGTGTGACCACTCGTAATGCTGTCATTGGTATAGCAACGTGGCCGATACTTCTGGCAGCTCCCTTCGTCCTGTAGTATGCTGGTCCAGAGTCGTAGCGTGTCGTCGCAACCATCAGCTCGTTCTGTGCGCACCATTTCCTGAATTCCTTCCCATCGTCGTTTTGTTTCTCTTTCGCCCAGCGCCCGAACGGATGTCTTTCGTTTCTCTATGATTTCTTTCCACCTCTGTGAAGACCTAACTGACTGTTGATGTTACCTCCTACTATACTCGCCGATCTGCATGCCATTTTGTCGCAACATCCTTCCGCCAATGAAAATATGTTGTGTGAGATATGTCCATGTTGACAGTAATATGTCGGTGGTAGGTAGGTGGCAAAGGTTATCACATCAAATTCGTTGTTGGCGAGCCGTATTCTTGCAATCTGTCCCTGCAGCGTTCCTGGCGGTATATGAATGTGCCTGAGCGCCTTCGCGTCTGTGTGCCGTGCGACCAGAAATCTAATCCCCACATGCTTTCGATATCCAACTCCCTCTGTTCCCTCCAGGTTGTATTCCCAATGGTGACTCAGGTAGGCCGTTTGTGCTGCTGGCCCTGCCCACTTGTGTGTACCTGTCAATGCAACCACGTCCCAGCCTCGCAGTTCCTGGCTGCTCTCCTCCAGCCTCCCGTTCGAACTGCCAAGAAAGCAGTCTCCGTCGTCGCCACCAGGAGAGGCACGTGAACTGCCTACTGCCATCTTGTCTCGCCCATGCTCCCTCCCTGGCCTGTGCGAGCAGCAGGGCGGAAGTCCTGTGAAGGCTCCGCGGCCTGCTTAAGGAAACGGAGGAGGACCAGGAGGACCGACGCCATCACCAGGAGCCGCGGGAGAGCGCGAGGACCTCGGCGACCGCGTGCCACTGATCATCCGCAGGGCGGCCGTGGGCTGGGCAGGGCCACGGACAGACCGAAGGCGCGCGGACGAGGCGCGGCGGGCCCCGCCTCCGCACAGCATCGCCGAATCTCGTCGCCAAATCGGGCGGCACGGCCTCATGTTTCCTGGGGTGGTACGTCACAGTCGGACCGAGGTACAAGATCGAGGTCGGTTCGGGGAGGCTGCCGGCGCGTGCCGACGGACGCCCCCCGACGAGAACGCCCCTCAAGAATCTTTGGACCCTCCGTCGGCCGACGCAACCGGCACGCCCGAGGGCACCCTCCCCAGGATGCACAATGCACGCCCAGCAGACCCCCCATCAACCAGGGCACCCCTCCCCGAGCCGGCCTCGACCTCGCACCTCGTTTCGCGCTCGCGCCCGCGCCGCCAATCCGTGCCGGCGCGTGCCGGCGAGGCCGCCCCCCCCGACGAACGAGGAGACGGGGCGACGCCCTGCGGGGCCTGCCCTCCACGGCCAGGCCCTGCGGGGCCGCGCCCCCGCCCCGGCGGCGGCCCACTGGCCCTCTTTTGCGGGGTGCCGGCGCGCACGGCGCGGGGCGGGGGCCAGCCAGCGTAGCCAGACCCCCTCGGGCAGTGAGGATCGTATAGGCGGCCCCTAATTACCCCTGCCCCCCCACGAGTTCTGGGGGGAGGGTGGGGTGGCCAGCCTCGAACTTGTCCCTACCCCTAAGATGGACACGCCAAAAGGCGATGACAATCTTAGGGATCCGCCCTCAAAAAATCAGGGAATCCCTAAGATTGGCATCGTGATGAGGAGATGCCCAGCATAGGGATAGGGATAGGCTCCAGGCTGGTAATGGGGGTGCACGTCGCTCGGGAGCTCCCGAACGAAGTGAACCCCACCCTCGCCCTCAGGGTAGGGTTCGCATGTGGCCCCCTGACAAAACATGACGGGATGTGTTGTTGCTGTTGTTGTTGCTGCTGCTGTTGTTGTTGTTGTGGTTGTTGTTGTTGTTGTTGTCGTTGTTGTTGTTGTTGTCGTCGTTGTCGGTGTCGTTGTCGTTGTTGTTGTTGTTGTTGTTGTTGTTGTTGTTGTTGTTGTTGTTGTTGTTGTTGTTGTGGTTGTTGTTGTTGTTGTTGTTGTTGTTGGTGGTGTTGGTGTTGGTGTTGGTGTTGTTGTTGCTGTTGTTGTTGTTGTTGCTGTTGTTATTGCGGTTGTTGTTGTTGCTGCTGTTGTTGTTGTGTTTTTTTTGTTGTGGTTGTTGCTGTTGTTGTTGTTGTTGTTGTTGTTGTTGTCGTCGTCTGCCTCTGGAGGCCCTTACGTGGTCTTGGGGCCGTCAACAGAACGATTCAGGATCCGGCCGCTCCCGCTCTGCGGTGTGGGCCGTGCGAGACCTCTCTGACAGAGTGTTTGGCACAATCTTTGGTCCCCTTCGCCAGTGCCTGGTCAAAAACCTCCTGAAAGTCCCTCCCAGGGGGGCCCCACTCTGCCGCCGCCCTCACCCCCGACCTCAACCCCCTCAACGTTTGGAACGGCCCGGGGACGACCCAAGAGCGTTCCAAGACAGTCACAGTCCAAGCCCCAGGACGGTCCAAGAGAACCTCCAGACGGTTCCAGATCGCTCCAAGACACCCAAGATGGCCCCCATACAGCCCAAAACGCCTCCAAGACGCCCCAAGAGGCCTCCAAGAGCACCCCCAAGAGGGCCCCAAGAAGCAAAACTCATTGATTGTTCAATGGTTACTCAATCGCTTCGCTCATTCCGCCAGCCCATGTTGCATGATCGCTACTGCTTCGCCGTGGGCCCGGGGCCATTGTGGCGCCGCCGAGGAGGAGGAGGAGGAGGAGGAAGATGAGGACGGGGAAGGGGAGGGGAGGAGGAGGAGAGGCTGAGAAGGAGAGGAGGATAATAAAGATAAGTAGGAGGAGGAGGACGAGGAGGAGGAGGAGGAGGAAGAGGAGGAGGAGGAGGAGCAGGAGGAGGAGAAGGAGGAGGAGGAGGAGGAGGAGGGGAGGGGGAGGAGAGGAGGAGAGGCTGAGAAGGAGAGGAGGATAATAAAGATAAGTAGGAGGGAGGACGAGGAGGAGGAGGAGGAGGAAGAGGAGGAGGAGGAGGAGGAGGAGCAGGAGGAGGAGGAGGAGGAGGAGGAGGAGGAAGGGGAGGAAGGGGAAGGGGCGGAGGAGGAAGCCTCTCGTTGGCATCTTATGTTGCTCTTGGGGCCAAACAGGGTCGTCGTCGATGCTTCTTTGGGAGGCCTCTTGGGTCTTTTGAGAAGCCGTTCGGGGGCGCCTGGGAGGCATTTTTGAACTTTGGGGCCTCTTGGGGCCTCTTTTGGGTCTCCTGGGGGGCCCCTGGGGCCTCTTGGGAGCCTCTTGGCGGCATCCTGGGGCCTCTTGGGGGCCTCTTGGGGGCCTCTCGGGGCCTCCTGGGGCCCTCTTGGGTCGGAAGGCTCGAGTTTTCGGTTCGTGGTCCCCCTGTTGGGCCCTTCTTAGGGCCGTCTTAGGGCCGTCTTGGGCCGTCTTGGGCGCCTCTTGGGCCGTCTCGAGGCCCTCTTGGGCCCTCTTGGGGCCCTCTTGGAAGCCTCTTGGCCCGTCGTGGGGCGCTCTTGGGGGCCGCTTGGGCCGTCTTGGAGCATCGGATGGCCGAAAAGGCGACAATTCCCAAACCATCGTAAAATTTATGATTTTGTCCTGTCGGGCCCTCTTGTGAGGCCTCTTGGAGGCCACTTGGAGGCCTCTTGGGCCGTCTTGGGGTCATCATCGGCGTCTTGGAGCGGTCTTTGGGCGTCTCGGGGGCCTCTTGGACCGTCTGGGAGACCTCTTGGGGCCCTCTTGGACCGATTCGGAGCCCTCTGGGACTCCGAAAAAGAGTTCCGGCATCCTTGAACAGACCTTGCCGGGATACTTTTCGTCCGGGGACCCCCCAGGGCCCGCCCCGCGCGCGCGAACTAGAAATATTGTTTACCAGCTACCGGAGATCTTAGCACGCCTCTGGCCCGTTGGGCCGGCGAATTGAACGATTTTGGCGTTCTCGCCATTTTGGCTTCCCGACACTGCCCGAGAGGCCCCAAAGATCGCCCCAAGACGGCCCAAGAGGCCCCCAAGGGGGCTCCAAGACGGCCCAGGAGGGCACCAAGACGGCCCAGGAGGCCCCCGGGACGGCCCAAGAGGTCCCCAGGACGGCCCCAAGAGGGGGCCCAGACGGGGAACCCGAACGGACATGTCGAGCTTTCGGTCCCAAGAGGTCCCCAGGACCTAAGAGGCCCCACACGCACACGCACACGCACACGCACACGCACACGCACACGCACACGCACACGCACACGCACACGCACGCGCACGCGCACGCGCACGCGCACACACAAACACAAACATTAACACACACACACACAAAAACACAAACACAAACACAAACACAGACACAAACACACACACACGAACACGAACACCAACACGAACACAACCACGAACACAAACACAAGCACAAACACAAACAAAATCACGAACACGAACACAAACACAAGCACAAGCACAAACACAAACACAAACACGAACACAAACACGAACACAATCGCAAACACAAACACAAACACAAACACAAGCATAACCACAAACACAACCACAAACTTAAACACAAACACAACCACAAACACAAACACAAGCACAAGCACACGCACAAGCACAAGCACAAACACAAACACGAACAAACACAAACAAACACAAGCACAAGCACAAGCACAAGCACACGCACAAGCACAAACACAAACACAAAGACAAGCACAAACACACACACAAGCACAATCACAAACACAAACACACACACAAACACAAACACAAAGACAAACACTATCACAAACACTAACACAATCACAAAGACAAACACAAACACAAACAGAAAGACAAACACTAACACAAACACACAAACACACAAGCACACAACACACCACGGAGCTCCTGCGGACGGGCACGCGCCAGCGTCAGCACACGTCCTCTAGATGGTCCACAGGCCAGAGTCCGTCTCGATCCGATCGATCAAATTCGGTCGTTATGTTCTAACGATCCGATGCGGATAGATGTATGCACGGCGCTGCTGTGCATCCTGGCCCAGCCGGTCCATTTCGATTCCGACGACGTGCCGATGCGGCCCGATCCGAGGCAGAATCTTCGATCCGATCCGGCTTCCCCCTTCGGTGCCGACCCAGACATCCGGCTGCCCCAATTTTTTCGATGCGTGGGCCCTGGAGGTCTGGACCACTTCCCCAGGGCCGGTTTTCCCCTCCCGGGTAGTTTTTTGACGCTCCCGGTGCCCGGCGAGGGCCCCCAGGAGGCCGAAAACGGCCAAAGCCCCCCGGCTCCGATCTTTTGGGCGCGTCGGATCTCGGGGGGCGGGTCCCGCAGGTGGACCCGGGACGACCACTCGCTCCTGGTGCTGCCGCTGCACCTCCTCTACGGCCTGCAGACCAGCCTCTACGCGGCCCTCTGGAGCGGGGCCCGCAGCGCCTCCCGCCGCGGCTGGGACTCCTCGTGTGCGGCGGCCCCCCGCGCGCCGGCCGCCGATCCTCTGGGCCCCAGGCAGGGGTGACCGCAGGCGGAAACTGGAACAGCTGCATTACCAGGGGCCGGTTGCTTTTTCGATCCCACGACTCTCTTTGAGGGTCGGGGGCGACGTCGGGGTGGTGTGGTGTAAACTTTTCCCCCGCTTCCGAAAGGAAGCAACGAAACATGTATACACCAGGATCCCGCATGCACCAGGATCCGCGTTCCTGTGCAAATTTCGGTGAAGGGTCAGAAAAAGCGTCGGTGTATGGGGTTCGTGTCCCCACCTAGGCCAGGGTGACCTTCAGTGCGCCGGTAAAGGGAGCGCAAGGTGGCCAGATCCAAGCGCGCAAGCAGCCACTGTCGCATGGCGCTCCGCGATCGGGGGGACCCGTGGTGAGCCCGCCCCATGAGGTCACTCCGGCGAAGGGTCACTCTTACGTGGAGTTGACTCGGAGCGCCGAGCGCTGTCGGCCGGGGCCACGGATCTCTGATCGGTCGGTTCTCGCCGCCGGCCGTCGGCCCAGGCACACCATGGGATGCCACTCTTGCGAGGCTGGCGCTGGTATGTCCCGGAGGCCTCTTCTCGCTGCGTCCCGCTTCATCTGGCTGGCTCCCGCTCCCGCTGCATGTGGCTTCCTCCCGCGGAATTCCGCTAATCCAGGCTTGATCTGGCCTCATCCGGCTCAGTGGCCCTTTAGTCGGGCTTCAAGTCTTCAATGCTCCTGACGAAGACCTCCCGGGAGTTGCCTCCTAACATGCCACAGAGTCCCGGATCTCTGCAGGCCTTCCCAGCGGGTGCCGCTTTGGACGGTGCCAGGACGAGGATGCATCCGTTCCAGAGCGTTCTGGATAGTTCTCGGAGCGTCCCGGATAGTTCTCTGAGAAGGCCGCGGCGCCCGATACATCCTCCAGAGCCGCCAGATCTCAGAGATTCTCGATTCATCCTCACCCGAATTTGTCCTCGTCCAGGCTTCGTCTGACCACTCTTTTCCTCCAAGGCTGTTCTTTCCCTCGACGGACCCGGTGCGATGAGGCATGTCTCCATGGGCGCATTTCTCGAAGAGCCTGCCCCTCTCTCCGTGACACGCCCGTGGGGTTCTCGCTCGGGGGCGTCGCTGGCCAGTGGTTTCGAGGGCGGCCGAGAGGGGATGATTTCGGTAGCCAATCATGGGAGCCTGGCGTGCCCTCTTAATTCCGTCTCTAGCGCTGACTAGCGTCGATTGGCGTCTCGGAGTCGACGAGACAGCGCTGATGAACGTCGGTCAGTGTCGATTTAGCGTCGACTAGCTTCGATTCCGCTGGAGCCGACAAGATGCTACGGCAGGCTCCCATAAGTTGCCACCGAAGATGACGACTGGGGGGGAGGATCTCGCGCCAGGGGCCATGATACCTTCCCAGACTTCTGGCGCCTCTTCTTGTTGCAATACGTCCCATGGCTCCCCCCCCAGGGGCCGCGCACATGCCGCCAGCCATGATTTGCCAGCCCCCCCCCTCTCCCCTCCCCCTTCTTAGACGCCCCCTTCTTCGACGCCCCCGACGTTTTAGCAGTGACCAGGAAGCCCCCCAGCATGAGCAGAGCATGGCAGCCCTCAGCCCCTGCAGCCAGGATCAGGGCTAAAGAGGCTGCGATTTCGATTTCGATGGCGTAACCGTTTCAACGCCCAGCGTTTGCTGCCCTCCCGCCCTCTCTGAGGCGCTGTCTAGCTATCTGCAGGAGGGAAAGAAACACACAGACACAATCGGCAATTCCCCAGAAAATATTGGAAACGATGGGACGCGTGGGGGAAGACAAAAACCCTGACCGCCCCGCGGACGCCTCCGGTCCCCAGATGGGCCCTGGGGGTTCCGCGGGGGCACCTCGGGAGGCGCAGAGGCCGACGACAAAGGCGGACCCGGCTAGTTCCCAGCCGTCCTGTGGTGTTGGGTCCTCGTTTTGCAGAGAGAGAGAGAGAGAGAGGGAGAGAGGGAGAGAGGGAGAGAGAGAGAGAGAGAGGAAACAAAAAGAGAGAAAGAGAGAGAGAGAGAGAGAGAGCGCCCTGTACCTCCTCCTACCTCCTCCTCCCCCTCCTCCCTCCTCCCCCTCTTTGCTTCTGCTCTCCGCTTGTCCCTGTTTCGGCACACCCCTCGCACGTTCGTGGCCGCACATAGGGAGCGCGGGCGAAGATGAGATTCACAGTTGCGGTACTCACAACTGCATATGATTGGGCCCCTCGCCAGGCTCCTTTTTGCAGCAGGGTGCTCCTATCTCGGGGACGGGAGCATGGCCGTGAAGCCGTGTTCGCCGCAGCCGCCTTGGCGCGCAGCACGGTGGGCATGACCCGGGGCAGGTTCGCGAGCGTGAGACGTCTGTCTGAATGTGTACACTGCCTTTCGGGCAGAGGCCCGTGTACGTTCGTGTATAGCTGTGCGCCTCCTCCTCCTCCTCCTCCTGCTCCTCCGCCTCCTCCTCCCCCTTCTCCTCCTCCTCCTCCTCCTCCTCCTCCTCCTCCTCCTCCACCCTCCTCCCAACGGTGGGCGTTTCTCTGCTTGAGCGTGCGTCGGGCCTCGAGGAGCGGCGCGTTCAGCCGCTGCCCAGCGCCGCGGGCTTGTCATGAGCAGCGGGATTGATTCAGCGGACACCGTGCTGCCGTGCCGCGCCTCCTCCCTCCTCCTCCTCCTCCTCCTCCTCCTCCTCCTCCTCCTCCTTTCCCTCCTCCTCCTCATCCTCCTCCTCCGCCTCCTCCGTGTGTGTGTGCGTCTTGGCAGCACCATTACGTCTTACAGCGCGACGTGTTCTCGCGTGGGGATCGGCCCGCCAGGGGCTGTCACCGAGGCGGGGCTGCCGTGGAGCTCGCCCGCTTCAGCCCCGCGCACTGCGTCCAGCGCCTCGCCTCGGGCCACATCGCCGGAGGGTCGAGGGAGACGCTCGAAGGAGGAGGAGGAGGAGGGGGAAGAGGAGGAGGAGAAGGAGGAGGAGGAGGAGGAGGAGGAGGAGGAGGAGGAGGAGGAGGAGGAGGAGGGGGAGGAGGGGGAAGAGGAGGAGGAGGAGGAGGAGGAGGAGGAGGAGGAGGAGGAGGAGCGAAGAAGAAGAAGAAGAAGAAGAAGAAGAAACAATGCCATAATGTTTGGTTTGCGTTTGCGGCTAGGCAGAGTAACTGCGCTGGCGGAGGGCTACCAAAACACGGGTACCGTTGTAGCGAATTGTGCCACCATGCACGCAAAAACGCGCCAGGGAGGGAGTCCGTCGCAGATCCAAGAAATCCGCGCGGAGCGCCAAAAGGTTCTGCTGACGGCGTTGTTTCTTCCTTCTGGACGTGGCGGGACCGGAAGCGCAGCCAGGATCAGGATTACCTGGCCAAGCACGCTTCGGCGCGACACGCCAAACACTTCCCGCTATTCCCGAGCGTCGACGCCCCGAGCCTTTTTTCCGGCCTCACGCCCCGCGGAACGGAGCGACGCGCCATCCGCTCGCAGGGCGTAGCGTGGCGCTGGGGCCCGCCGCCGTGACACGCTACGCACAAGTTCCCAACCGCAGGTCACGGGCAACGATAGGGGGGACAGGCTCAGGGGCCAATGCACCGACCCCCAATGGCCCACCCATCGTCAATGGGGGCCCGAGAGCGCCTTCGCGTCCGGGAGTGTGCGGATTAGCTATCGGTTGCCTTTCGTCGATCCATGGGAGATGTATCGCCGAGTCCAGCTTAGGGTTTCCCCCCTCAGCCTGTCCCCCCCCGCTAATGTTGCCCCTCGCCTGAGATCCTGGCATCAGGCCATTCGCAACGGGTGATCGGGCTCGGGGACCCTCACGGTTCGATCTGGCTCGAGAAACGCCGCAGCAAGGCGGGGCTTCCGAGGGTTCCCGCCGCGGTTTCTTGCGATGGTGCGATTTGTTCGTGACGTCGGATCTCCGGGCCGGGTGCTGGAGATGAGGGGTCTTGGTGTTGTTTTCTCCCTTTCCGGACTCAAGACCCTCCCCGGTCCGCAGGGGGGGTTCAAGAACTGCTCAGAGCTGGCGGCGCGCAGAAGGGGGTATCGCCAGGGGTGTGGCCTTCTAAGCATGCAGGGGGAGCTTCTTTCAGGAGGAAGAGAAACACACAGACACAATTAATCCTCGACTCCCCGGAAAATACGGGAAAATATGGGAAGTGGGGGGGAAGACAGAAACCCAGAAAATATGGAAAAATATTGGGAATAGTTTTATTTGTGTGTATTTGTTTGTGTGTCCTGGGGCCC